GCTAATTCTACCACTGTTTCATGATCTGAATGAACCTGCCCACTCCCCATCTAGTATTTTCTATTGGATTGCAACTCTCATCAATTTCTGCTAGCATTAATTATACTAAAGTCCAGTTAGAAAATTCTGGACTGTAGAATAGTAGAGAATAGTTGTTTCATCAACAAAAGGCAAGAGATAACCCTTGGAAATAAGGCCTTTTCTTGTCTTTACAATTCTTTTTCCATGATCTTTGGAACAGTCTCCAACAACTCCAGGAATGACCAGGAAAAATATTGTCCCTGAATTTCTGGAGACTTGCAATTTGTCAGTGTTGACAGCACTAGATTAGATGGCTTGAGAATCTGACTTAGAAGGAATGATCTCCCAAATGTCTTTTTCATAGCTTTTCAATTTTTTTTATTTTCAATGTATCATGTTAACAATGATTTTATTTAAGGAAATAAATACTGGTTTCTTTTTATTTAAAAATGTTTTGTACTATTATGAATTTATTTGGTTGTTATATTGTTTTTTTTTAAATGGCAATGTATTTTTATAAAATGTAAACAACTGCCATACATAGGTCAGGACCTAGAAAGTCAGTACTGCTAGAACAATTTAAAATGCATAATGATCTGGAACAAATTAGGAAATAGGAGGTAAGAAACACCCCTGAACAAGATCATGTTGCCCAGGTAAGTTTCAAAATAAGAAACCTTTCAATATCTGTTCAGAAAGTGGCAGTGCTTTTTTTTGTCATAGAACGCACCAGAATGGAGTTCTGGCACTTTTTTTCAACAGATTTTCCAAGTTTTAAAAGTAACTTTTGAAAATTTGATGTTTGGTCCATGTGGACTTGAATCGCCCTGTCGAGTGTAGCAGGTCGGCGGCAAAATCATTAAAACGGTGCATGCGGACTGCTTGTGTGTTGAGTCCGATGCATGCGTACTTCGTCTGTGCTGGTTGTGATGGTGCTGCTCGGCTTGTGATTGGTTGTGTAGTAACGTGCTGAGTGCTTACTGCGGGTGGCGACCATTATGTTTTGTTACATAACTGACATGTGGGGGTGTGTACAGTAATTGACTACGTGCGAAAGGTAAATAATTTATTTTAAAAAATCGTTGGTGAATTGAAAATCTTTTTTAAATTTTTAGTGTAAAAGTGTGACCTCAAATTTAAAAATGAAAAAAAAAACTAATTACTTTTCAACCACCGGTCCTGCTAAGAACTGAATATATAATTTTTTAAATAAAAAATTAACAAGATGTGAGTTCTGGCACCTTTTTTCTTACAAAAAAAAGCACTGGAAAGTGGTAATTCACTGCAAGCAAAATTTTTCAACTTAATGCTACATTTGATAGGCCAGAATAAAAGTTTCTCCATCTAGTCTGAACAGTTTCTGATGAACATATATTGCAAATATTTCTTATAGTGCTAGTGGTTCTATAATAGAATACAGAGCTAATATAGAATTAGCTGAATGATAACTAATGATTAACTAGTATGAAAGGTTGTTTCATGCTAAATCACACAACCAATTTAGCCCAGGTTCAGCTGTTTTTTGACAGTGGCTTTCCAAAATTCTGCTATAATTGGCATTCACTGAACAACTTTCCCCAATTTGTTACTGGTCAGATGCACTGTCTACAGTTCCCATAATAGAAATTTAACTTAGCCATTTGCTGGAGGACGTAATGTTGTGGAATTTTATGTGCAATGGATAGACTTTTAAACAGATTTTTTAATCAATTTGTAGAATAAAGTCTTCTAGTCTTTAAAACTTTAATCTTGATAATATGTTGTTGTTTTTCCTGGAGGAGCACTGAGCAGTTTAAATATTTTAATGAAGCTACCCAAGGGAGATTTCAATAGAATATTCATACGTGCATATGATAATTACTTTTATTCTATCCATATTATGAAATTGTCACAAATAACATTTTTTTATTTGCAATATCTCCAGAGACCATTATTATTTTAAATGTCTAAAAGATTTTTAAAAATATTCTGATAACAGCTAACAGATAACAGCTAATGATATATAATATGTAATTCAGCAATGGGAAACATGCTTAATGAGATATTAAACTAGCTGGTGGAATAATCCTTGCAAATTAGAATAAATTCCCAAATTAGACACTCTCTCTGAAGAGTATTCCTTCAGAAGATTTGTGCCCAGGAGATACAGAACAGGAAAGAAAAACAGCAGCTGGCGTGATTAGGGCACGAGAACAAATGTTACAGTATTTGGGGTGGTCTTTAATTAAGGGAGAACAGTAAAAGTGTACAGGCACAGGTTTAAAACACAACCAACATCTTCCCTGGTCCAACACCTTAAAGCCACAGGACATGAAATTGACTTTAAAAATACCAGAACCATTGCCAAAAGTGAACATTTTAATAACAGAATAATCAGAGAAACCATCGAGATAGAAAAACGCCCACACAGCATGAACAAGCGAGATGATACCTCCCGCCTACCAGTCATTTGGAAACCCGCCCTTATTGACAAACGACTCCCTAAACACAAAAAATGATATCAGACCCACACTCACAAAAACCACACAGGATGTCACCACCACACATCCATGCAAAAAGCAAACCCAAAGCCACACCGATGATGAGGCACGACCACAAACCAGAAGCCAGACCACAGCTGCATCATTAGCCACTTTAAACCCCTCCAATCCATACATGAAGCAAACTGACACCTCCATGAAGATGAGGCACGACCACGAACGCGAAGCCAAAAAATAGCAAGGCAGCCCAAAATCTTAAACCCCCTGCAACTCAGACTAACCTGAGCACAACCAAACAGAACACTCCCCCAGCCAATCAGAGCACAGCCAACCCCCCAGCCAATCAGAGCACAGCCAACCCCCAGCCAATCAGAGCACAGCCAAGCCCCTAACCAATCAGAACACACCTCCACCCAATCAGAACACAGCCAAGCTCCCACCCAATCAGTTCATACCCCCACTGGCAGTTAAAAGGAAGAAACAGCTAAGACCACACATTGCTGCTCGAAGCACGAAGCTGAAAACACCAGCCTGAAGATGACGAATGGGACTTCGTCGAAACGTCGCCAAGACACTTCCAATTTTACGCGGGAGAAAACCCGAACAACCAAAGACCTACATACAAACACCTGCGAAAACCTCAGAAAACATACACACACACACACACACACACACACACACACACACACACACATAGATTCAATACAATACAGCTCTGAAATTCCAGGAAAGATGAAGAATATATTACAGCAGTCCTCTTAAGAGTGCTACAAGAATTCCTTTAACCTTTTCAAATATTTATTTTTGACAAATATGTTGTCTTATGTAAAAGGTATCAATTGAAAATAACAAGATTACACAAATGGACTTCAGGACAGCCTTAGAGGAAAGAAATAATAACAACATAAATGACTTTTCAAAGCAAGACAGTAGATTTAAATCACTGCTTCTGCAACTTTTTGAAAATGTGGACTATTAAATACATTCAGAAAATGTGGGCCCTACCTCCCGCTACTTTTATCTTTAAGAGCACGGACTTCAAGCTTTTCAGTGAATGAGATAATTGTGTTTGTATATTTCTTCCATTTTCAAAATGTTATTCAGCCATTCATTTTGCTTCTGTGACTTGTTTGAAATAATTTCACTTGTTTTTTTTTAAGTTTTTCCTTGTATCATTGTATTGTCACCTCTTTTTCGAAAGCCTTTCATTTTTCTATGTATTCTCCCTTGACTTTTCCCTTTACATTATGCAATCAAAATATTTAACCTTTAGCTTCATTATTAATGCTTCTAGTGAGCATTCTAGTATTGAACAATTGGTCTTTCTAGCAGTCCAACCTGATCTCAGACATTTTCTCCACCATCGCAATTCAAAAGCATTGTTTTACATTTTGTGTAACTTGTAACCAAAAATGTAATTGCTACAATGTCATCTGGGTGACATAGTGCTTATTCCATACACAATAAACTTGAGGATTCCTTGCATATGTTCCATATATTAGTTGGAATGATAACTGGGCTGTTTTTGATTAAAGATATAATGTATATTTATGCATGTGAATAATTAAAAATTGTGGAAGTTTTTTTTTTAAAAAAATCTAAACATTCCAAGCTTCTTTTTATAGTTTTTTTTTTGGCTGTGGTATTTGTACAAGTAGCTCATAAGTAAGCATATTCTTTCTCAGATTGCTTTGCTGGGGTTGGATGGACAGGAAGATCTGCTTTTATTTAAAGTTCTCATGCTACAGGAAATGGGTCTTAGCATGACAAGTCAGCATCAAATTCCATCCAGCTTTCCTTTCTAGTGTTCATATAGGTCCCTGTCTTCTGTAATATAGTTTTTTGTGTATTTGAAGATCCAATAATTATTTAGACTAATAAATGAAGTCACGGGGATTATTTCTTTCAATCCACCCAGTAAACAAAATGGTCTTTATGGATTACTATTATTTAAAGTATTACAAAAAATGTAAAAACTGTAATAAATAAATAAAAACAATAACATGCAGGTACAATTTTTAGCGTAGGAAACAAAATGGCCACTATTCCAGTTAGATCTTAAAATCTTAAAACCATATTGATTTTAAAACTGTAAAAATGCCTGAGAAAAGAGAACTGGCTTTGCCTGGTGTCTGAAAGACATTATGCCAAGCATACCATCTTAGAGAAAGCACTCTATTGGTGAGGTTCCATAACTGAGAAAGTCTTGTATCCACCCTCCATATGTCACTTGGCAAAGAGTCCTCAGAGGATAAAGAAGGAATACCTTTCTTGACTAAAGTGTTTCAACAAGAATGACTTTTCATACAACATATCCAAAATCTCAGATCTGGAACCTAGTATTTAGCTTGAGAACCATAAGGAATGTATGTGGGCTTGCTTCCAGGTAAAGATGGATAGATCTGTGCTCCAAGCTCCATTGTGCATTCCATCCTATGTATGATACCTATTTACATTGTATCTCCTTTATCTAAGGTGTATTTTCTTTCTTTCTTTCAGGTATCAAATCCATACAGGTCTTCAGCATTCTGTCATACGGCCCACCCAGCCAAACTGCCTGCCTTTGGACAATGTTACACTACCTCACAAACTGAAAGAAGCAGGTTATTCAACCCACATGATTGGCAAATGGCACTTGGGCTTTTATCGCAAAGAATGTATGCCAACTCAACGGGGGTTTGATACCTTTTTTGGCTCTCTTTTGGGTAGTGGTGATTATTACACTCATTACAAATGTGACAGCCCTAGAATGTGTGGCTATGACTTATATGAAAATGACAATGTTGCTTGGGATCACGACAATGGAATGTATTCTACACAGATGTACACTCAAAGAGTGGAACAAATCTTAGCTTCCCATAACCCTAGAGAACCTATATTCTTATACCTTGCATACCAAGCTGTTCACTCACCACTTCAGGCCCCGGGCAAGTATTATGAACATTATAGATCAATTAATAATATCAATCGGCGCAGATACGCTGCTATGCTGGCATGCTTGGATGAAGCTATCAACAATGTGACCCATGCATTAAAGCGATATGGTTATTATAGCAACAGTGTTATAATTTACTCCTCAGACAATGGAGGCCAGCCAACAGCTGGTGGAAATAACTGGCCTCTCAGAGGAAGCAAGGGTACTTACTGGGAGGGAGGGATTCGAGCCATTGGCTTTGTTCATAGCCCTTTACTTAAAATAAAGGGAAGTATATGCAAGGAGCTTATACATATAACTGACTGGTTTCCAACACTTATTACCTTAGCAGAAGGGCAGATTGATGAAGATATACAACTGGATGGCTATGATGTGTGGGAGACCATCAGTGAAGGCAGGCGGTCTCCAAGAATAGATATTTTACACAATATTGATCCCATATACACAAAAGCCAAAAATGGTTCTTGGGCAGCTGGCTTTGGAATATGGAACACTGCCATTCAGTCAGCCATCCGTGTAAACCACTGGAAACTACTAACAGGAAATCCAGGATATGGTGACTGGGTCCCTCCTCAATCTTTTAGTAATGTTGGCCCCAATCGCTGGCACAATGAACGGGTTTCATGGACAGCTGGTAAAACTGTGTGGTTGTTCAATATCACGGCTGATCCTTATGAACGAGAGGATCTTTCTAGGAAATATCCAAGTATAGTCAAGCAGCTGCTGCGAAGGCTTTCCCAGTTCAATAAAACAGCCGTTCCTGTTCGCTACCCACCTAAAGACCCCAGGAGCAACCCAAATTTTAATGGAGGAGTGTGGGGCCCATGGTTTAAGGAGGATAAAAACAATAAGATATTAAATAAAAACAAACTGGGTAAAAAACAAAAAACCAAGAAGAAATCTAATAGGCAGCAAGGACATTCCTTGAATTGCCTTATAAATCAATGATTTCAGCTGGAGTTTTATGCTGCAATTCTTATCATACTTACCTTCATCAAAAGCATTATAGGCTGATTTCCAGCTAAGGTGTGTAGCCTCAGGATGTCATTGCTGACATGGAAGTGAAATGTTCTCCAATGTTTGTAATTGAAATAACACCAAAATGTCATTTTTGCATTCTTGCAGTTTTTGTTTAGGCTTTAATTGGAACAGAATAATCCATTTGTAAGATGTGGTAAACATCAACACCTATGCAGAGAATTATAAAGTCTTAAGGACAAGTAAGATGTTTTGCACTCATGACTAAATCAACCCCAATTTCTAGGACACTTGACTATAGGTTCTTGATCTCGGACCCATCTGCACATTTAATTAGATGCGTAAAATCTCCATTGGATTAAAGAAAATAGACCAAAATGAAAAAGATAAAAAGTTAAAAAGAGTTTGGGTTTATCTCCTAATTTTGATTGGATGAAGTAGATTCTGACATTGCTACCAAAGTAACTTAAGTTGTAAAAAGGCTGCTTTAGATTTTGCCTGGCTTTCAACTGGAAAATAATTTTTTTCTTTTCTAGAATGTGCCAGGCTATAATTCCTTCCAATAAAAATAAAATATGTACAAAACTTCTTATAAATGGTTATAATTACAAAAAGATATAAACTGAAATCCTGGATCAGATGATGGGTGCATGAGTACACTCAAATTACTACACTATCCACAAATAACTTGGCAAAGAATGGCAGTCATGTAATACACCAAGTACTGCTAAGGAATATCCTCTATGGAAACTGAATACATATGAGGTCTGAGATCACTATTAAAGAAATCTGACCATGTTTTCACTGAAATGTATGATTCAAGATTTAAATACAAGATTCTACTTGAATCTGTTAGACATTTAATTCAATAACCACACAGGCATCTAGTAATAACCACAACATAAAGAATAAAAAACTTACATTGTGATGTTACAATGTAACTCCAGCTTTTCATAGTTGGTATCCTTACATGTACGTCATGTGATTTGACTACATTATCACAACATATCATTTACCTTCATGTAGATGTGTCTTTTGTCATGGAGAAAATCTAAGTCAGGAGTCTTCAAACTTGGCCCTTTTATGACTTGTGGACTTCAATCCCAGAATTCCTCAGCCACGCTGGCTGAGGAATCTGGGAGTTGAAGTCCACAAGTCATAAAAGGGCCAAGTTTGAAGACCCCTGATCTAAGTGGTTGCTAAGAGTCAACACTGATTTGATAGACATTTTCCATTAATCTATATCTCTATTCAGTCATAAACTCTTAAGGGGCAAGCATCAAAATGCCAGCATTTTGTTCACCTATAAAACCGAATGAAAAACCTGTGAATTCAAGGTTTCACCCAAATAAATCCTTGAGATATTTAGATATATCTCTTTTAAGTCCCAAAGTAAAGTGATAGCACCATACTCCCTCCATTGTTTATCAAAGAATATATAGATAACTATTTATATATTTATTATTGATTTTTTGATCATTTTTCTTTCTACAGTTGTGAATATTTAAAATAGTTAAACTGTATTTATTTTAGATTTTTTTAAAAAAATCCTACTTTTATTATTTTTATAAATAACTCAAGGTGGCAGACATGCCTAATAGTCCTTCCTCCTCCTATTTTCCACGCACCAACAACTCTATGAAGCGAATTGGACTGAGAGAAAGCCACCCACCTGGCTTTCATGCCTAAGGCAAAACTAGAACTCACAGCCTCCTGACTTTCTAGCCTGGTACCTTAACCATTAGATCAAACTGGCCTATATTTAATAAAAATAAATAAATATTTATAATAATAATAGTAGTAGTAGTAAAGTTGGAAGGGACCTTGGAGGTCATCTAGTCCAACCCCCTGCTCAGGCAGGAAACCCTATACCATTTCGGACAAATGGCTGTCCAGTCTCTTCTTAAAAACCTCCAGTGTTGGAGCATTCACTGCTTCTGGAGGCAGGCTGTTCCACTGATTAATTGTTCTAACTGTCAGAAAGTTTCTCCTTAGTTCTAGGTTGCTTCTCTCCTTGATTAATTTCCATCCGTTGCTTCTTGTCCTGCCTTCAGGTGCCTTGGAAAATAGCTTGACTCCCACTTTGTGGCAGCCCTTGAGATATTGGAACACTGCTATCATGTCCCCCCTCGTCTTTCTCTTCATTAAACTAGACATACCCAATTCCTTATATGTTTTAGCCTCCAGTCCCCTAATCATCTTTGTTGTTCTTCTCTGTACTCTTTCTAGAGTCTCAACTTCTTTTTTACATCGCGGTGACCAAAACTGGATGCAGCATTCCAAGTGTGGCCTTACCAAGGCATTGTAAAGTGGTATTAACATTTCACGTGATCTTGATTCTATCCCTCTGTTAATGCAGCCTAGCACTGTGTTGGCCTTTTTGGCAGCTGCAGCACACTGCTGGCTCATATTTAGGTGATTGTCTACTAGGATTCCAAGGTCCCTCTCACAGTTACTACTATTGAGCAAGGTACCCCCTATGCCACAGGTCGGCAACCTGCGGCTCCGGAGCCGCATGCGGCTCTTTGGGCCTTCCCCTGTGGCTCCCAGCCTCCTCTGCCTTTGCAGAGAGAGACAGAGACAGAGAGAGGCAATTGCGCTTCCCTGCTTCTCTCTCTGTGTGTGTGTGTGTTTGTGTTTTTTTGTGTGTGTGTGTATGTGTAAAAGAGAGTGCACTCACAGTATTCTCCGAGGAGCTGAAAAGCTTACTGGGCGGAGCTCCTCCCTTTGCTGCGTCTCTGCATGAAGCAGGAAGGGCAGGAGAGAGCTAGCTAGCCCAGCTAGGCTGACTCAGGAATTCTGGGAGTTGAAGTCCATGAGTCATAAAAGAGACGAGGTTGCTTGTTGGACAACAGCTTGAAGCTTGCCAGGTGAGCAGCAGATAGGAGGGGGGGAGAAAGAGAAAGAGAGGGAGAGAGGGAGGGAGAGAGAGAGAGAGAAAGAAAGAGAGCGGGCGGGGGAGGGAAGAGGAGTGGCAGACCAAGGGCAGATAGGGAGGGAGGGAGAGAGAGACAGAGAGAGAAAGAGACTCTTTTTACATCTAAAATGAAGATAACACTGCATATATCCTTTTTTTACCTGTGTGTGTGTGTGTGTGTGTGTGTGTATACACATACATACATACACATATATATATACACACACACATACACACACACACACAAACACACACACACCTATAATAAAGGTAAAAAAGGATATATGCAGTGTTATCTTCATTTTAGATATCAAAAGGGTTTTGCGGCTCCCAGTGTTTTGTTTTTGGTGGGAAACGGGTCCAAGTGGCTCTTTAAGTGTTTTGGGTTGCCTACTCCTGCCCTATGCTATACCTGTGCATTTGGCTTTTCTTGCCTAAATGTAGAACCTTGCTTTTTTCACCAATGAATTTCATTTTGTTAGATAGCACCCAATGTTCAAGTCTGTCCAGATCCTTCTGTATCTTAAGCCTGTCTTCTGGAGTGTTGGCTTTTCCTGCCAGCTTGGTGTCATCTGCAAATTTGATGAGTTCCCCATCTATCCCCTCGTCCAAATCATTGATATAAGTATTGAAGAGCATTGGGCCCAGAACAGAGCCCTGGGGCACCACACTACACACTTCCCTCCACGTAGATGCGGTTCCATTGAGGACCATACACTGAGTACGGCCGGTCAGCCAGCTACGGATCCATCTGGTGGTGGTGCTTTCTACCTCACATTTTTCTATCTTGTCAAGTAGTAGGTTGTGATCTACTTTATCAAATGCCTTACTGAAGTCCAAGTAAATTATGTCCACAGCATTCCTCTGATCCACTAATTTTGTCACTTGGTCAAAGAATGCAATAAGGTTTGTCTGGCATGATCTGTTTTTGACAAACCCATGTTGGCTTTTAGTAATGACTTTGTTTGCATCTAGGTGTTCGCTGATTCGTTGTTTGATTATCTTTTCCAGGATCTTCCCAGGTATTGAGGTCAGGCTGACATTTCTGTAATTTCCTGGGTCCTTTTTCCTTCCTTTTTTGTAGATAGGAACTACATCGGCTCTTTTCCAGTCCTCTGGAGTTCCCCTGTGCTCCAGGATCTTTGAAAAATATAGTTCAGTGGTTCTGAGATCACATCTGCCAGTTCCTTGAGAACCTTGGGGTATAATCAATCTGGTCCTGGCGATTTGAACTCGTCTAGGCTGGACAGGTGCTCACTTACCATTTTTTTGCCTATCTTAACTTGCGTTTCTATTCTGTTTTTTATGGCACTGTTTTCGATAGGTTGGTCTGTTTCCCTTTGTGTAAAGACAGATGCAAAAAAGGAGTTAAATAGTTCTGCTTTCTCCCTGTTGCTTGTCACCTTCTTGCCACTTTCACCCACTAATGGACCAATCATTTCCTTCATTTTTTTCTTGTTTTTTACATGTTGAAAGAAGCTTTTTTTGTTATCTTTGACTTTGGTCGCAAGCCTTAGTTCATTTTGAGCCTTGGCTTTCCTCACTTCATCTTTGGAGGCTTGGGCTATTTGCTGATATTATGACTTAGTTATGTGCCCTTCTTTCTACTTTCTAGTTCTTTTTACCTTTCAATTTGTCAGAGAGTTCTTTATGCAGCCATGCTGGTTTCTTTTGAGAGCTGTTATTTTTCCTTTTTGTTGGTATTGTGCTAGACTGGGCTTTTATTATCTAATTTTTCAAAATTTCCCAAGCTTCTTGAGTTGTTTTCCCCTGGAGGATTCTCATCCATGGAATCCTTCCCAAGCCCTCTCTAAGTTTATTGAAATTAGCTCTCTTGAAGTCCAAGACTCTAGTTTGACTGTGTTCTATTGCTTGTGCTTCCATAATGTTGAGGCAACATTGCTAGTCCAACATTGTTTTAAAAATAGAAATATATCATAAATTGCATATATAATGCACTATAATGTAACATTTACAATGACATAAAAATAGTTTGGATATATATATATATATGCATCCTAGAGTACAAGCAGTGAACATAGTCATTTTAGACTGAGCTAGGACAAGATATAGGAAATACAGGTAATAGCAGAGAAAAGATTTTATGTTGACTTTTGACTATAAATCAATAAACATTTTAATCTGAGGGGAAAGGAAAAAAAGGGCATATAAACTGGATACAAAGTTGGGCTGGATTATACTACCAAATAGATTTGTCTGATAAATGGTATGATCTAATAAAATGAGTGTAATGGAAATTTAGGGTAACATGGAGGATCAAAAAGGTCATAGTAAAACTGATAAAAGGAGCAGAACAAATCCGAGTCTCCCTTTAAACAAACCTTCCTAATGAATTCTATCAGAAGAGGGAAACAGCCAAGGGTAGCAAGGCAATTAAAATAATCAGTTCATCACACCATTCAGCTTCTCTTTTTAGCTTTGAAAAACTGCAAGGGTGTTTGAAGATCTTACAAAGCCAAAATTTTCATTAACTCTCCTACACCCTTTAAAATCACTCTTGGCTGATTTGAAGAGGCTGTTTCCCAGCAGTTTCAATAAATCTCATAGATTCAACATAAGCCAAGAAAGCCTGCAGCTAGGAGATCTTTATACTAGTTTTATAGTCATCATGTGAATTCATTTGGCAGAATTTAGCCACAAATATATCTTACTAACATATAAGGGAATTGCTTGTATCTAAGGGCAGTGGCTAAAAGCTAAACTCTCATGAACCAATATGCAATCCAGATCCAAGCTTTCTTGGTACTTCTTTATGTCTTGCTGGTTTTCAATATCTTAGAATTGATTTGGAGAGTTGGGAATGAGAGACTATGCTTCAGTGGTTCTCCTTTCCCAGGTTCAGTTCTATTTGGTGCTGGGAAGGAAATAGTAAGTCTTTGCTTTGTGGGATATTTCACAGTTGTCACTTACCCTGCTGTTTGTTAACATCTACAAATAGCTGCTGTACATGATCACTGACCAGCATGAGATCAGGTAACAATATGCTAAGTGATACAAACCTGTACATGTCTAATTGTGCAAATCCTATTCTGGATCAGTGACTGGGTGCGATTGGGGTCTAGAATTGGGGGAAATTATTTAGATGTAACTCTAACATAACTAGATGACTCTGGATTTAGGGATTCTTCATTTTTAGGGTCTGTCCAGCTTACTGGCATGCAATTTTGATTTCCTACCTAGACTTCTACTGTGAGCAAATGGCAGCTGCGGCTGGAAAAACTCTTCCACAGGTTTATCTCATGTACTAATTGCACTCTTTTCCTGTATCAGAAGATCCTACTTCAAGACAGACTATATGAGGTTGCCCTTCCTGGTTCAGGATGCAGAAGTATGAGCAGTTACAGCAAGCCTTGCCATTTAGATTTCACTTGCCATTCAAAGTGCTGATTGTTATCTAAAAAAGCCCTTGATGGGTTAGGCTCTGTATATTACAGGGTAACCTTTCTCCAATTGTTTCCACCTGTCCTACAAGAATTGGCAGGGTCAGCATACTCCAGCTCCCATCAAGACAACATCATCCTAATGAACCTTGGATATGTACCTTCTCTATAAACTTCTATTCCTGGACCAGCATTATCCCATTGTCCATACAGTCTTTATTCTGAAGAAAGTTTTTAAAAAATTGTAACGTTTTTGATATTCTTTGTATACTACCTTAAAGGATTTGCAAAGTGGCCAAACAAACAAAAAGAAATAGACAAGACTCCCAAATATTAAAAAGGTAGGTTTGCTTTTCTAATTGCTGCCATCAGCCTACTGCAGAACCAGAATGCCTACTGAGAGCTAAGCTCCATCCCATCAGTTTCTAACCCGTTATGGAGCTAATTCTCAAATATGTTCTGATGTTAAAGGAGCTCACCAAGATAAGCCTGAATGAAGAGTTGTATAGTTTGCAAAAATAAGAAAAGGGAGAGGGGAGAAGCATGACATAATTAATTGTGTGTCACGAGTCCAAATATTTTGGCTTGTACTTTATGGGTGGTTAGTTTTATACTCCATTGCTATTCCTAAGAGAATGCTGCTTCATGTAGCCGTAAATCAGAAAGATCTGTGAAAAAAACTTACTTAGGTGCAACTCTTCACTATGTGCTTATCTCCCTTGTCAAGATAATGACAGGACTGTGTAACCAATTACTTTATTTTCTTGGGAAAAAGAAAAAGCTATGTGAATATATTGTATATATCTATTAAAATAGTTTATTTTTATGAAAATGTATACTCTGTTATGGCATTGACTTTCCAAATTAAAAAAAAAATGTTGAGATGGCTTTATAAAATATAGTAAAAAAACAGCCAGAAAAGCAGAAAATCTACATAGCTCCAATCGTTTTGTTGTAGCTGCTCCGCTACTCCAGAACGTAGTCCTGAAAGAGAAGAAAATGCCCTTAGTCATGGAAGAATAACCTACCCATGACTGAAGTCTTTTGGCAGGAGAAATGTTAACAAGTGTATGAAATGTGCAATTACATGTACTGGTGGTAGTACAAGTTAGTAGTTGCTACTAACTGCCTGGTGTGCATCTTATACATTTTGCACAAAAGTTGCTTGCGTTAATTATAGAAATCCACACATATGTTCTCTCTCGCTCTCTCTACACATACACACACACACACACACACACACACACACACACACAAACGTGCACACTCATACATGAATACAAATGAAATCTGTTGAAGAGAAACAATTGGCACAGCCTTCCCTAATAATGGGGAGGGTTTCTGGACTACATAGTCTCAATATTGAAAGGTATGAGAGCAGAAAACACCAATCTGTTATGGCCATAGGGAGTAGGGATGAAAGTGGGAGAGACCCTATACTATACTAGGATTTCCATTTTTATAAAATCATGACGCTATTGTTCCTGTTGACACATTGTTAAATCACTTATTCAGACAGATGCAATTATGTATGAGCAATGATATGAATGAATAACTAGAAAAATGTTCACAGAAAAGACTGAAATTAACCATGATCAGACTAGAAGACCTCCAAGGTCTCTTCCAACTCTGTTATTCTAGTCTGTTTTAACAAGAATCCATGCACACGGAAGAGTCTCCATAAACAGGGCATACGTATTCAGGGGGCCACAAAGACAAGAGGCAGTCTTCCCAATACAGGACTCTTAGATGCATTGGATCTGCATGATCCAGAAATCCTAGCCAATGTGGCTTGGAACTAATTGTTTTACTGAAAACCAACTGTCCGCAGTTACAAATGCATATATGAGAGGGATGAAAATACAATTTAAAACTGAATTTAAACTATACATTTTAGTACCAGCTCATTTGAAATATGATTTTTTCTTTTACAAGGAAAATAAAGAGCTTCACTTAAAAAGACAGAATTGTCCTCTTGAGAATCAGACTAAGAGGATTGAGATGCAACCATCATAAATATGAGTCAGTTGCCAAGCATCCAAATTTTGATCACGTGACCACAGGGATGCCACAATGGTCCTAGTGTGAAAGATGTCATAAGTCACTTTTTACAGTGCTGTTATAATTTTGAATGGTCACTAAACAAATTATTGTAAGTTGAGGACTACCTATATTGGCCAAAACCTTTCACACAAAGGTATCAATTTCCCCTAGGCTGAGACTCCTGTCCTAAATGTACCACATAAAACTTTGATTTACAGACTCCATATATACTGTTGCTAAGCACACACACACACACGCACACGTGCAGTGTACAGTTCATTCAGAAAGTATTCAGACCCCCTTCTCTTTTGTTAATTTTGTTATTCTGCAGCCTGCTTCTACAATTGTTGAACTTCATTTTTTTCTTATTAATCTATACTCAGTTTTCCAAACTGACAAAGTGAAAACGGAATTTTAGAAATATCTGTAAATTTATAAACAAGAATAAGATGATTTCATAACAAGAATAATAAGATATATACTGACTGCTTTAGCAATGCACACTTACCTTTGAGGTCCATGATAACCTGCTTCAATTTGGGATTCATCTTAATAGACAAATTCAAAAATGACACCACTGAACCTCCAGCCTCCCCCCTGCTGTTTGAGTATAGGAATTTTAGGAGGGAGGTTGCAAATCACACATCCTAAATATGATTCTTAAATTAGCAATCTCTGGGAGATCACATGTCCCCTATTAATGAGAAGAAGAAATCCATATTGCTTCTTCAGTATAGATCCATATATGTTACCAAAAAGAAAAAAAATATTGTTTTCAACTGCTGTGGGAAAATGTTTTATTTATCTTTTCTGAATGAAGTAAACATTTGCATTAGACTGGAAAGTTGAAGAAACATTCTGGAAAAAGACATTGGCAAACCTCTTCCACAATGCTGCCAAGAAAACTGTGTGGATGTAATCATCTGGAATCGAGCTTGACTCAGGATGTCTTTACTATTCCTGCCAAAGAAGCAAAATGGAATTAGATGTTGGATATGGCGGATTTATTATGTTTCATGTTGGATCCACTTCAGCGTAAAACTCTTGTTATATTTTACCTGGGGAGGGGGAATCCAAAGGTGCTTTTTCAAGAGGCAACTGGACTTTCTTGTTTTTTCAAACTGAAGAAGCTTCTTGGATTGGAAGCAAAACATTTTCTTTTTTTTTCTGTAAAAAAATTTTTATTTTCAATTTTACAATACATTACAATCATAAAAATACTTCAGATAAAAAATAAAACAAATTGATACACACAACTTTCGGTATTGCTCACCCATTTCCCCCCAAACCGCATCCACCCTCTAACCAACTTGCCTCTTTCCCTCTTCTTCCTCTTCCTCACTCTCCCCCTCTCCTCCTTCTCCTCAACCTTTCTACTTGCTTCTCCCCTTCTTCTATCTTCTCACTTCGGATGCAGTCCAGGGGAAATGCCCAAGCAATTCCTCTCTCCAAATTAAAACATCAATATTATATACAATAAAACTATTTCTACTTATCTGAACTACTTAAACTTCAACCCATCCTCCCCCACCCCCCTCCCCCACCCCCCTCGACTTCCCAAAGCCAAGTACAGGGTTATACAAACATATTAAACATAATCTATTTAAGTTTACTAATTATACAATAACCAAAATTATACTAACCCTTAACTCTCTTCAAACTTTAACATCATAAGTTTATAAACAAATTCATTACTCATAAAATAAGTGAAACTTTGTAGTTCCATACTTCTTCTGAACATATTCTATCCATCTTCTCCATACATTAAAATATCTCTCTTGTGAATGGTCCTTTAAATAAGCAGAAATTTTGGCCATTTCTGCTAAATTAGAAACCTTAAATACCCATTCTTCTAAAGAAGGCAGAGTATCCTTCTTCCAATATTGACCCACCAATAATCTTGCTGCTGTTATTAAATTCAACATTAAAATAGTTTCTTTAGCATCAAAATCCACAAAAATACCCAAAAGAAACAACTGGGGAGTAAACTTAATCTTCCTTTTAAAAACCTTTTGAATGTTCCACCAAATCATAATCCAGAAGACTTTAATATTTTTACAAGTCCACCAAACATGAAAATAGGTTGCATCCAAGCAACCGCATCTCCAACATTTAGGTTGCAGGTTCGGGTACATACAAGACAACTTTTTAAGATCCAGATGCCATCTATAAAACATTTTATAAAAATTTTCCCTCAAATTTTGAGCCTGCGTAAATTTAACATTTCTAATCCAAATTACCTCCCATAGGTCCAATGAAATCGGTTCCTGAATATTCTGGGCCCATTTAATCATACAATCTTTTACTAATTCTGTTTCCGAATCCAATTTTATTAACTCATTGTAAATTCTTTTAATATGGGCATGTTTCTGATCCTTAATCTGAATTACCAAATTTTCATCTACTAAAGTAATTCCCGCTTTCTTATCTAAAGTCCACCTCTGCACTATTTGCAAATATTGAAACCACGATTGTAAAATATTTTCTTGCCTTAACACATCTGAAGACTTTAGTTGCCAATCAGTACCCAACCAAATAAGTAACTCTTTGTACAAAATATTATCAAAATTCACCCCCTTGGAGACCCCCTGAATTGCTTGTCCAGGAATCCCCCAAATAGGTATTTTATAATTTAGCTTATAATAATATTTCTTCCAAACTCGAAGTAAAGCATTTCTTAAAATGTGTGACTTAAAGACCCAATCTACTTTCTTATCAAAAATTAAGTATGCATGCCAACCATATAATAAATCCCACCCTTCAAGAACAAGAATATTTTTATTTGTTAGATTAAACCAATCACTTACTAAAGTTAAAGCGGCCGCATCATAATATAGTTTCAGATTAAGTGCTTTAAGTCCACCTCTTTCTCGAGCATCTTGTAAAATCTTAAACTTTACCCTTGATTTCTTCCCACCCCAAATAAATGTACTGATACCCTTCTGCCACTCATCCAAATTAGCATCCTTCTTTAAAATAGGTATCATCTGAAACAAAAAAAGAAACTTTGGTAGAACATTCATCTTTACTACTGAAATTCTCCCCTGTAACGATAATTGCAGTTTTTGCCAATCTTTTAAATCTTTTTGAACTTTAACCCATAAGCATTCATAATTATTCTTATACAATTTTCCATTAGATGTTGTAATATATACTCCTAAATACTTAACCTTATTAACTACTTCATAACCTGTTGCTTCAGCTATAAAATCTTTTCCCTTCATAGACATATTTTTCAATAATATTTTAGTTTTATTCTTATTCACCTTAAAACCAGAGACCTGTCCATACTGTGCTAAAATTTCAACCAAATCTTTGACCGAATCTGTTGGATGGGATAACGTCACAACCAAATTATCAGCAAAAGCTCTCAGCCTGTAATCAATCTTACTTATTTTTATTCCTTTTAATCTAGATGAATCTCGAATTTTAGTAAGTAAAATCTCCATTGTTAATACAAATAACAAGGGGGATAAAGGACAACCCTGTCTTGTACCTTTTCCTATTTTAAATACGTCTGTTAATCCCCCATTAATTATAATTTGTGCCGATTGTTGCTGATATATGGCCTTGAGAGCACACAAAAATTTATCTCCAAAATTCATTTCCTCTACAACTTTCAATAAAAATTTCCAATCTAATTGATCAAAAGCTTTCTCAGCATCTATAAATATTAAAGCAGCAGGGATTTGGTTGTTCTTATCCAAATACTCTATTAAATTAACAATTTGTCTTACATTATTTTTCATATATCTTCCCATTATAAATCCAGATTAGTCAGTATGAATCAATTGTTTCAAAACCTGCATTAATCTATTTGCCAATATCTTTGCAAAAATCTTGTAATCTGTATTTAAAAGAGATATAGGCCTGTAATTTCTAGGTTGGGACAGATCCTGGTCTTCCTTTGGAATCAATGATATGAAGGCCGTTCTCCAAGATGGAGGTAACTCTGCTCCGGACAAGATATCATTAAAAAGTTCCTTTAATGGTTCTATCATTTCTTCAGATAGCATCTTATAATAAATTGCTGTTAGCCCATCAGTACCTGGAGTCTTACCAAGCTTCAATTGTTTAATTGCAAAAATAATCTCTTCAGAGGTAATTAAACCATTAATCCCATCACATTGGTCACTCGTAAGTCTAGGAAAATGTGCTTCCTGTAGATATTTTTCTATATCTGAAGTTTGTATAATTTCACTAGCATATAACTTTGAATAAAAATCTAAAAAAGACTTTTTAATCAAATTTTGTTGATAAGACTTCTTTACCTTTATAAATTATTTTATCTATAATCTTTGATTTCTGTTTCTTACGTAATTGATAAGCCAACCATCTACCAGGTTTATTTGCATTACAAAATGTATTATGTTTCACATACCTCAAATTAGTTGCCATCTGATCCGCTAATAACATATTAAATTGCTCCTTCAGCAGAGTAATAGAAACCTTTAAATTATTATCCATTGGGTTTGATATTAAAATCTTTTCCTTACATTTAATCTCATCTTCAAGATCTTTACATTTCTGAATCTGTTTACGTCTATGAGCATTGTTCATAGAAATCAAAATCCCCCTGATATATGCTTTACTAGAATCCCATACCATTGGCATCGAGGTACCCTTATTCATATTCCAAGCAAAACATTCCTTTAAATAACCTCTACATCTCTGTATATTCTCTTCATATCTAAATAAATTCTCGTTCAACCTCCAAGACCTTCTAGTCCTTTGTTCCAACGAAATTTCCAACCATACAGGACTGTGATCTGAAATTATTCTAGGAAATATCTTAATATTCTTCACCCTAGAAAGGAAATCATTAGTAACCAAAAAAAATCAATTCTAGAATAAGATTGGTGCCTATCTGAAAAAAAGGTAAAATCTTTTTCCTCAATGTTCCGTTCTCTCCAAATGTCTCTAAGTTCCAAATCGTCCTTTAGATAAAAAAACAAACAAACTTTAGGAAGTCTTGCATGATTAAAAACTTTAGAAGAACCCTTCTTATATTTACTTGAGTCTAAAACACCATTCCAATCTCCCATCATAATAACTGACTTGTAATCCAAAGAAGTTAATTTCTGGTGAATCATCTTATAAAAATATTTTTGTTGTTGATTGGGAGCATATAACCCGACAAGAAGAGTTCTCTTATCATTTATTAATAACATATCTTCCTTCAGTGAAAGCTCCTTTCTCACATAGATGACTACACCTCCTTTTTTCTGCAAAGCAGGAGCTATGAAATGTATCCCCAGCCCGGAATTAGACAAAATATTTTTGATCTTTAGAAATAATATGAGTCTCTTGTAAACAAATAATATCATTTCTGTGTTGTTTCAAATAATGAAAGATTTTCTTTCTCTTCTGTGGTGAATTACGCCCATTAACATTCCAGGTTAGAAGATTTGCCATTCTTGGCAGGTTGAAGGCTTTGGAACAAAACCTCTAAATTTGCAGTCGATGACCTCTTTGGCCTTGCTCCTCCCACTGGCTCCGAAGTAAACTATGATGAGACTCCATCATCTACCTTTTGTTGTTGTTGCTGTTGTTTTGTTGTTGTTGTCTTTCTCTACGTTTATGAGCAGCACATGTAATTCTCTATTCCCTTGGGTCTTCCGTTATTTACAAATTCTGTTGCATAGATTCCACCAGTAATTCTTCTCCCAAAAATGGCACTACAGCCAACTGTGCTTCTGCCTTGCTCTCATCTTTTTTTGATCTTGGAGATGGTGGTGGACTTCCTTTTAAAGAAGCAAAACATTTTCAAAGAAAAACAAGAAAGTCCAGTTGCCTCTTGAAAAAGCACCTTTGGGACAACCATGACCTGGATGACTGAGAATCTCCATAGACTTGGGGGGGAGCAAACTTTCTCAGCATGTAAATTAATAAATAGCGAACATATAGGACTGTACAGATGTGATAAAGGGCAAGCCAATACTTTGGTGGGCTGAAAATCGTATTACAGCCTACTAAACTCAAACTATTTTTTAAGACTAAGAAGGTAAGAAACAAAGATTACAGCTTGATTCTTATCTTAGTTAGAACAGCATACATTTGTGGCATAAACAGTTGATTTCTCTGGATTTTTTGTGCAAGGAAGGAATGTAAATCCTTA